CTTTTCCAAGAGAACATTAAATCTTTTCTCATTATTACTTTCCATCACCAATAACTTGGCGTTAACATCTAAGACAGGTTGATTTCCTAATTCAATGAGATGATCCAATTTTTCATTAACTTCTCTAAGCAATTCATGTTCAAACTTCAGTTCTGAAATTTTTTCATGACAGGAACAAACATTACCAACTGTAGCTGGATTACTGTTCTTAACAGCAGAAGAGGATTGTTCAAAATTATGACAAGTCTCTGCTTGTTTTCCTTTGTCCAGCTTATTGGCTGAGGAGGAAGTAGGAAATAAGTCTTGAGATGCATCATTTGTTTGACTCAAGTGATGGAAATTACCAGTTTCATTGGAACTCAATTTCAGTGACAAATTGTTAAGAAATAGATCTAACTTCTTCTTATTTTCTTCTAATTTGTCATACACTAAGGCAAACAAATTGTCAAAGGCTTTTTTGGATAAATCTTCTCTATTGTCAATAGAAATAATAGAATTTCTAATATGTTGCAAATCTTTCACTAACAGAGGGGAAACAGGAAGTGAGGAAAAGGAGGAAACATTGTCTTTTACTAATGCAAGGTCTTTACAGGTTTCTTGAGAAATTTTTTCTATAGGAGTAAGAGAATTTCTAATTCTAGTAAGGGAAGCAATCACATTTTCAGAGGAAAAAGTTAGAGAACGAAATTGAGGTTCTATGGCGTCAAATTTTTGACTTAAAAGATTTTTAATATCTATAGAGGATTCAGTCCTAATTTGTTTGGACAAAGCAGAGAAATTATAGTCTACAATTTTTTTGATGGAGTGGAAAAGATTTTGTAAAATCGGGAGTAAATCATCAGAGGTCAAAGCCTTACCACTACTGCCTCTGGGTGTAGACGACGATTGTCTTACCCGGCGTTCTGGTCGCGCATCGATTCCAAGGCTTGGAATTGGGCCTGAGTGGTCCTGTTGAGACGAATCATCTCTCGATGGATCGAGATCTGATGAGATCGTCTTCTCGCTTCTCTGCTGCTCCCTGCGTTCGAGTTCTGAGGGGCTCGGTTGGGACCAGGCCTGGGAAGCCAATCGGGACCTCTGTGACTTTGGTTGCGCCTGCGGTTGGAGTTCCTTCTGCGACCTCTGCTTTGATTGGACTGGAAAGTGGTCGGTCCGCCTGTCGCCGACGCTGGGTGATCTTGGCCACTCGTCGGATGTTGGTAGTTTGCCGGAGGATGGTACTGGTAACCCTGAGCTTTCACTGGATAGCTCGGTTGATTCCAGTACGGCTGTTGGGCTTGCGGATTCGTCGGGGGGTAGTAGTACCCTCCCTGAGGATGGTGCATCGCGGCCGGAGGTTGAGTGGACGAGTTGATCGTCGGTTGTTCTTGGTTCTCTTCCGGTGGTCTCATCAGGGCCTCTGGGGCTTGGGAGGGAGTCGTCGGGATCCCTTCTTTCCTCCAGTAATCCTTGCCCGACTGTCCTGTCAGGTAGTCTTGGTACTCCGATACCGGATTCCAGTTCTCGAATAGGGTAAGGAATTCCTCCAGGTTCATAACCCTGAGGAGGCCGGTTTGAGCCGTCGAGGCGGCTCTCAGAGCTACGATCTTCTGATCTTCGTCGTTCTTCTCCAGCGCTCTGCGATAATATTCTTGCTGGAGTTTCACCGCTTGAAGAAGCGGATGAAACGACGGGCGATACCTTCGCAGAATGTCGTCCTGGAGGGGCGCCTTTGAAGTCTTGGGCTTCGACCAGAGCTGGGCGGTGGCTCCTGGTTTTTGACATAATAAGCATAACTGAATGAAGCCAAAGAAATACAATATTAATTTTGGTCACTGATTGGCAAACACTGCGAAAACAAATGTGATCTGCATAAAAAAATGCAGAGAGAAAAAAAAAGTGTACGAATGCTATGTGTGATCATCGTAACCACTATGGTATCCATAACAAGAGAGCACCAGTAGAGACAAAGATGGTCTTTCCCATAGATAGGTCAGATCTCAATTGCCTTGGTGACAAAGATTGACCCGGCAACAATGATTGGGAATGAGTGACACCAGGCATGATTTGTGACCAGAAGCAAGCATGAAATAAGAGAAGTCAGCGGTTCCATGGTGAACTGCCCGACGAGACTAGAATACAAAAGCACCAAGGTCATCGCTGTCCCCTACACACATCACTAAAACATCGTCCTGATAATCCTTACAACACATTTACCCTCCTCTGGCACCAATACCCTCCCTCAACCATCCTGCATGTTGACTCGTTTGCTCTATCGTTTCACAGCTCGATTTGTACCATATCTCAAGCTGCCCACTTTCATCGAAACGATCCATCGACTTGCCAACATCCATCGACTCGACAACTATTGAAGTTGCACCCTCACCGCCAAAATTGCACCCTCCTCAAGTATCCCCACGACCTCATAGCACCTCTCCTTAAACAATCCCATCGATAACTCAGTTGAGTTGGTTACAAATGATTTCGAGTGCTTATCGGTCTTCAACAACCGATCCATTCGCTTCAGCGCCCCCCAGCCGACTGCTTGTAGCTCACTGATCAATACCCCCAGTTGTGAACGACTCATGCGGGATGTATCGTCTACGCCAGGGAAAGAGGACGGAAGCGTTTGGGAAAGGCCAGGCGACCGTTCTTCAACCATCCGCAAGAGGGCGTGGCATACCTCTTGAAAACGATTCATGGTTGCTGACGACGACATGTCGGCCATCTTCTTCCGATCTTTCAATTTCTTCAACGCCTCCACAGCACGCTGTGGAACTACTCTTTGGTGGGAATAGAGCTTAGAGAGGGATGAGAGCTTGAAGGGCTGCCTCTCAGGTTACTGGGAGAGTAAGAAGAACAAGAAATAAGAGTATGGACTCTTAAAGAAAGGTGTGGCTAAATGAAGATGTAAGATTTGTAAAGGGTAAGGTATGAAGATAATAAGTCTGTGTGAAATGTCTTAATTCTGTAATGCTAAAATATATTCCAAGTAAGTAATGCTAAATCAATGACCAGGGAGCAATAATGACAACTCTGATGGGGGACAAATGGCAAGGGCCAAGAGAGCACTACATATAAGTCTTCTGGGGGGGAATAAGAAAACAAGGAGCAAGGCATCATCACAGGGTACATGTAACAAGGCAACAACATGGCTTGGGAGACAGCCTTGGGAATGGCATGTGTGACAAGGGTGAAACAATGCTGAAGCAACAGGGATAGAAACATGACATAAGTGGCTACTGTAGTAAATTGCCATGGTATGTAAAGAAGGGAAACAAAGATGCTGAAGGATAAGGGTCTTTCCTAATAGTCTGGCCCTCTTGGATGGTGGACTTTCTCCCACTTTATACCTAATTTGTATTTATTTTATTACCAAGTGTGGCTGGTGATCCATGTGAAGTGTTACTGATGGGTTGTTGGCCTTGTTGGTTCTGATGGAAGTGTCTATGGAGCAATTGAAGGTGGCCATGAGTGGATTACCCATGTAGAATGTTGATTTGATGGTTGTTATCATGTGTAGAGGGTGTGAAAATGGTCCAGAATGGTGTTTGTAGAGTGTAACTGATTTTGATTGGTCTCACCACATCCACCCCCAAATTAGATGATGTCCCCATCATCCAAACTAGAGTTACCTGTGACTTACTTGAGGCAAAAGAGAGAGAAGAAAAGAAAAGAAGAAAGAAAGAAAGAAGAAATGTGACTGGGAGAAAAGAAATGTGAAGTATGTACAAAGAAATTTATTAAAGCTGTGGGGCTAATTGTGCCAGAAGGAAAAGAAAAGAAGAGGAAGGAAAAAAGAAAGCTGGGTGATAATTTTTATGTGGAGTTTTTCTGATGGTTTTATACTGTAATTTTTTTTATGTGTTTTTAGTTTTTATGTAGAGACTTTGAAGTGATGGAAGGAAGACAAGAAGAAAAAAAAAGAATTTGTAAGACAGAGGAAAAGAAGATAAGGAAAAAGTTTTTATGAAATTTTTATGGAAGTATCTGAGATTTTATTTTGTCAGTTTTTAATTGTTAATTTTTGATGAAGAGAAAGATGTACAGTCAAACCTGTCTAAGGGCATACCCCTTGGGAGAAGGATTTGTGTATGCCTGTAAACAGGTTATGCCCTTAGAGAGAGGGAATTTGCAGCAAAATCAAGTTTTGGGAGAAGCCCTTCACTATTCCCTTATGCAGGTTATGCACACAGAAAGGTATGCCCTTAGACAGGTTTGACTGTATCAGCAAGAAAATAAAAAAAGGATTCATATCTACAAAAGGAGGAATTTGTTTAAAATGAAAAAGTTTTTTTTTTTTTTACTTCCACCCCCAAATTTAAATGATGTCCCCATCATCCAAAATAGAATGGGCAGGTTGCAAGGTCCATAACACTAGAAGAAGGGTGTACTGATGATTTCTGATATTGCTTGTTAATCTGTTCTTTCCCTTGTATGATACAATGATCTTGCTCCATCTGAACCTGTAACTATTTGAATTTTTCTTGGCTTTTGTCCATGATAACCCCAGCAAACTGCAGTTGGGTCCTCTGGTTGTTTGAAAGGTTCGCTTCCTTGCCCTTGGGAAGATCAGCAATGTAGACACATCAAATTTTGGCAAGAGCTCGGCGAATTTGCTGGGAGATGGTATTTGGCAATGAATAGCTTGATTTTGAAGCCATTTTGTTGCATCCAGGGATTTTATATGGCTTTCAGGGCTCCAGACCAGTGCATTAGGTGATCGCGATTTGACTCTCATCCATTTAAAGCTACTGTAAGTGTAACAACAAACGAGGTATCGATATCGGTCGCTTGTAGGGAGATTGTATCCAGGGAAAGGGAGGAGTCGGATGCAAGCATCAAGCAACCAGAAGCTCAAGTTTTAGATCGGTTTGATCAGAGTTGGATAGTTGTGTAGTAATGAGAAAAAAATGAGATCAAAGAAGGACATGTTGAAGCTGTCAATCCGAATAAGTCCTTTAAGCAAGGCTGCTCAAAACAACTAGACTATTCCTCCAGGCAAACGAATACAAGATTTTAAGTGACCGAGACTGGTCCAGTTCGCAGCATTGAGGCATCAATATCGGTTACTTCAAATTGAGTTTATTTAACAATCAAGATAAGGAGTCGGGTGCAACTGATTAGGCTATGGAGGAAAGATTTGAAGATTTTTAACTTGTCAACTAGATCTAAGCAGTTTGAAACGATCCAGATGTGCCCTGGTGAGTCTCCAAGTCAGATCGTTCAGTTTTCATTTGACCGGTTGTAGTTATAAAAGAGAGAGTAAGCAAAAAAAAAAAAAAAACAAGAATGCAGAAAGGTGGATGTGTAACTGCTGCCTTGCTCTAAAAGAGAGCTGGAGGCAAGGCTGATGCAACTGAGTAGTCCAGTTGTTGAAAAATTGAACAAGCAATGTTATTGACCTGGAAATCCTAGATGAAAAGGCAGGAGGAAGCGACCAGGCCGGTTTATTTTGACTTTTTTCAAAGACGATATCTTGCCCATCATTGTCATGATTTATAGGGGACTTATCTCCATCATAATCTATTCCTGGATCAAACATTCCACTGTGGTTCCCTGCCAGTTTACTTTTCTTCCAAACCTCGACATCCATTTTCTGTGCAGTACGATTTCGACGATCCAACCGATCCGACCAAAATGAGTCAATCGTCATCAAATCCAAGCGGTTGGTTCCCCCGATCGCTTGATGGTCTACCAGGTTCATATTTTTTGCCTCCGACACAAAATCAAAAGGAGTTATAGCCAGGTATGTAGATTGATGGCTTGTTTCCTGGCATTGAGATAGTCCAGAAACTGTACTATATCTACTAAATCTAATTTTCTTCTTTCTTTTGTGTTTCAGATGAAATAACCTCCAGGCTTGAATAGAAGGCCATCGGGTGGTCAGGAACTTGAGTTTGTCAATTTGGTAAAAGAGACAGGTGGTCTGTAGGTTATTTTTCTTGAATTTCAGTGATGAATGTGGTGGATTTATAAAATCTGAGTGAGGATTCTTGAGGCTGATTATAAAATTCATTCTTTTTTCTACAGCTTTCACAGGATCTCCTATTTCAAACTTTTCAGGGCTAAAATAAGGGGTTTTGCAGAGACTTTGGCTGATATCAGGAGGATTAAGCACTTGAATTTTGTGCTGATGGAGAGCTGAAAAGTGAGTTGGAGCTGAAGGAATTTTTGTTTGGTGATCTTTGACAGAGGCTGATTCTAAGATTAAATCTTTTATTTGTCCAGGGTCTTTCTGAAACAAGCAATTTTCAAAACAACTTGTTGAGGATGTGGTGGGTATAATTTTGATTCCAGAGTAATTGTTGGTGTAGATAAGGCTTGGCACCCCACAGGAATTCATTTCTGGTCCATCCAATTTGAGTAATTCAGATCCATGACTATCCAAGCAAGTTGAGTTTAACTGGGGGGATTTTTCTGGAAAAATAATCTGTCCATCTTCTGTAGTAGGTTTTTCTGGGGTTCCAATCCCTTCAGGTCTAGAAATTGTTGAATTTATCCTGGGAGACTGAGATTCTTCTGGGTTCAAGACTGATCCATTATCTAAGTGAAAATTATGTTGGCTAACAAATTCTACATATTCTTTTTCTTGAAGTTTTTCTAGAGAAGGATTTTCAGGACTAGGATGTTCTGGTGGATCTTCAATTGGGACCAATAGTAAGTGTTTTTTTGGAGGAATTCTATCTGAAAAGCTTTCATTTTCTGATCCAAAGCATTCTGTTTCTTTGTTGTCCAAGGGTTCCAGAGTTTCCATGGATTGGCCATCATGAGGGATCTGGAAGGAGGATTCTGAAGAGGGGGATGTGACTACTGGAGGTGGCTTTTCTTCTTGTGTAACACAGGGTGAGTTGGTTTCTGATTTGTCTATATGTTTAGATTCTCCAAAGATATACTGAAGAATGGTTTCATATGGTGGAAGTTTTGCAATTGAATAATTTCTAGACAAGACTATGTGACCAAACCAGATGAGGGGATCAATGATTTCTCTCCTAACTCTTGGGCTGAGACAGTTCCAAAAAGACCTGGTGAATTCCTCTGGATGTTTGATGTATCCATTGCTGACCAAATAGTGAGTGATAGTTTCAAACTGGATCCTGAATTGATGAAGTTGATCTGAAGTGCTGATTCCTCCCAGGTTGATGAAGTAGTGAAATAAGTTGTCCAGATCCTTCCTAGCACATTCCTCCCTGGTAAAAGCCAATCCATCCTTGGGTATGTAGAGAAAGTTTATTTCTTCCTGTTTTCTTTCCAGGCCAGTCAGACAGAGACCAAAGGGTGAGCTTCCAGTAGTTTGAGATTTTTCAGGTGTTGCATAGCTGATGGAAATATAAGTTGGTGAAGGTGAAAGCTGATTTTCCAGGGGTTCCAAGGTGTCATTTTCTGAGGAAGGGGGGCTGATAATTCTTCTGGGTCCAGGGCCAAAGGGTGGTTTGAATCCAGCTTTTCCACAGAGGGAAGGTGAAGGTTTTCTAGGTATGTAGGTTCCATTAGATTTTCCAGGGAGAGTAGGGGCTGATCCATGATTTAGCTGTCCTGTAGATTGTTTGAAAGGGGGGATTATCATAGCAGAGACATTGATTGATAGTTTGGCCTTCATGATCTGTTGTCCTGGGAATGGTCCAGAAAAGGAATTTCTTCTTGGTATGATATTCATGGTGGTAGGAGGGTAGCTGAGTTGTGGATATTTCTAGGAATTTTTCTTGGGAATGCTAGTAATATATCTAT